TGACAACAGAATCAGCATTTTTTCTGCAAGAGACTTTTCAGTCTTTCCCTAATAATATAAATCATAATTTTCTGTGATATGAAATATAAGTGGCTACAAATTATGTAGCGACGTTCAAATGTAAAGCGCAAATAAACGTTCTAAATTGAAAAGGATACGACGAGTGTCGAAGGACGGTAGCGTCTTGAAGTTATCCTCGACACAGAATCCGATACTATCGCATAAGCGGTATTCTCACTAACGATCAAATCGTCCTTTTTAAATGCGTATGCAAATATTTAAATGTGAGTTAAATTTCGTGAATATTGCTCGTTTATGTATAATATATTTTTAGAATTTCTTACATCATTTAGAAAAACATACTCATAAAAGTCATTTACTATTACGAGTGCTAGAGTTAAATGTGTAATTTGTATATGGTCAAAATTGTATATTATACAGGCAAGGACAATACCGTAGTACATAAACATTCTAGCATGATAGCTGTTGATTGCGACTTCTTCGGTGTGAAATAAAAAATATAGCCCATGTTATTCACTGATAACGTAGGTTTTTAATGGTGAAATTTTTTTTGAAATCGGCGTTGTAATTTTTACGTGTATCGAATACATACAAAAATCCAAAAGGTTTCCTCTTTATAATATTAGTATAGATATAGATTAAAAAAATCAGATGGAATGCAACAGAACTATAGTCAGTCCAACGCCTAAGTCGAGAATTTGGCTTTAGAAAATTAGTGTGATAGTGACAATTTCTTTGACCAGTTTAGATGTTTATGGACGTATAAGGAGAGTTGTCGGTTTTGCAGTCTTATACAATTACTGTCGCATACCTAAAGATACATTTAAAGGTACAGATTGGTCATAGAGCCAAAGTATGAAGTAATTTATTAATCATCAATATTACTCATACGCAGGTGGGCATTGCTATTTCAAAGGCAATTCGGTAAAGACCTTTAAATTAGACATTGATTGATTTGATAATTGTACAGATTGCAAATTATTTTTGATGCAACTAATTTAGGTTTTGTTGAAATTCTTTATTTGTTAATTAGAAATGTATTGATGTAAAATTGAAATCGGTAATTGATTAGAAAGGATATATAATATTAATGTAAAAACACTATACAAACATTTAACATTCTGTATTATAAAAAAAATACAGAAATTGTTTTACGAAGGGGAACGTATAATTCTGGTGATTACCTAAAAAGTAGGTTAACAGATTAACACTCGAAAAATTCGTTCACCTTGAACTTTATGGTACTGACAATGAGAAAAACGATAATCTCCGTTCGGCAACCCTTCACTTTGTACGTAATGAATGAAGCGGAGATGACACCATTCCTAACAAAACGCAATTACAAACGACTGCTTGTGTTTTACAAAATAAACGATGCGTGGTGTGCATAGCCTTCCTAACACAATGCAAATTTTATACCACATTATTCTACCAAGGAATATATTTATTACATGTTAAATATCCTAACACAGTCGATCTTTACAAACGTTTGTACTTGTGAACTGAAAAGCTATGTAAAGTGACTCTAGGATATTATAAAAGCTTTATTTGTGTATGCATTGACACATAACCTTTTTCCATTAGTTAAGAAAGCTCGGTGACAGATGCACGTACATCAAACTATAAGGAAACCGGTAGTGGTCTTATCCTAAATTAGGATTACGCCTTAACAAACCAAGCCAAGGAGGATTAGTACACAAATCTTTGAATTTCTTTGCAGATGTTTTCTTTCTCTATACCAAGACAACAGTAACATATCCAATTGATCAATAACCAGACACAAGTGACCACAATTAATTGTACAATATCAACAATTGTATAATTATGGTCACTTGGTTTGGCATAGTGATCCAATTGTAATTGCGGGGTGATATGGCGGAAGGCTTGTTGCAGCCGCGGCGCACTTCCGCGCATTGTGGCCTCAGAGCACACTTGCGACACACTTTGTTCCCACAACTGCATTACAAAGATATCGTAATAATAAAACGAGCCAAAGAAAAGCGTCACCGTGGAACTGTAGACCACTGTTAGTCTTTTTTAGATTTTTTAAAAAGCTTTTAGCTGCAATTGGAAAAATAATTTTTACGCAAAATCATTCATTATGATGAAATTGTCGGGATTTTACAATTTTAAGGACCTGTTCCACCAAATTGTAGATTGCCTGATAACAATCCAACGTTTAAAATATGTGATGGAATTATCGGATGTTCTTCCCTTATCTGACAGTGACACATTAAAGCTATCTGAGCCTCTGTCAGCCAGTGGTGGTCCAGGCCCTAAGTTTAATAATAAAAAATAAGCCATGTATTGAAAAATCGTCCCAAATATTTGATTTATCAGCAGGTTTGGATGGAAATAATAAAAAAAATCCACTTCGACATTTTATTTACAATATATTAATATTCTCTTTTTATTTTGTTTTACTTGATTTTTCCACATCAGGTTACAATCGGGCACTGACCACATAAACCATTCAAAGACAACACTCAAAACGATTTGAATACATTAGACCTCACTTTTTAAGTAGACGGGGAACTACAATTAATTACATTTATTAGCATAACGCCTTTGGCGGAAGGAGATCAACTGCGCAGTAATCTCATTAACAATATGGCTTAAGTAAATGTTAAAACTAAACTAAAATCTAGTCTAGAACATAATTAATATAAACCTATTGCACAGTAAAACACATACAAATAATTTAAACAAACTAAAAACATGAAATACACACAAAAGTTGACCGAAGTGAAGCTACGAAGCTACGTACATACAGTCGGTAAGAAAACTTTTTTGTGATTTTATATTTTTTGTTAACGACTGTATTTAGAGCTAACTCCACACCGTTCAACTAAGAAAGGATACAGACCAGTTAACGCCTTACAGGACGACATTTAACAAAGTTACGGACATGCAATATTTTCGCTACTATATTGAGAAAATCAGCCAAGTATGTATCTTCATAATCATTATTAACAATAAAATATCAAAATAAGTATAAAAAGTAGGCAATCAAATTAATTTTATAACGGCTGCATAATTTTATGATCAGAAAAATTCAGGCGTCCCAAAAAAAAAAACCGAATGCAACTGATATCGTGACGCCTGAGGGTAGCACGAAAATACGCGAAAAAGTACTCCTATCGAAAAAACTTGTGTGATATGTCGGTGTATCTTCTATTCGATAGGCATAAATCTGATACAATTATGTCAATAACGTTACAAATACTTACTCGCAAATGTTCGTGCTAGGCCTCCAACAACAACACAACTGTTTTGTGAATGAGAATTAAAAACATATTATGTTAATACAAGTGTTGTTTTCTGTGGTTATATGCTTATATCGATAATTCCTACGTAAATTATCGTAAGCCACAATTTTGCTATTCACACTTTGAGAAATTTAATTTCTATTAGTTTATATTATTTATTTATATGTATTATTATTGGCATATTTAAAAAGTGTAGATTTTGGATATCTATCGTATAATTATGTTTATTGTAATTAATAATATTTGAATTTATAGTTTTGTCCTACAAAATTTGCGTTTCATACATACAATTATTTACGTAGGAGCCACTGATATTCTTTTTGGCAATAAACAATGACAATGATTAGAAGATACGACTTGGATAATAAGTAAACTAGTAGCTCTTAAATACTAACAATTTACATTGAAAATTTAATTAAAATTCTATAGTAATCTTAAAAGTGAGGTCCGCAAGACATAAAAATTGCAGAATATTTTATAAACGCACTATTTTTTTCAATAAAAGTTGTACTTAAACATTTTTGAAAGTGTTAAATATATAGAATTTGTTTTATTAAAAAGGATTCTTGTTTTAATTAGTGTTCACTAAAATTTAATTCACGCAAACATCCCAACAGTCAGTTTCTTTATAAACTATTAAGTAATTTTAAGCCCAAATAGGTAACGATCATCATGTTCCAAGGAAAAATGTTTCTAGGAACAAACCAAACACTTTTAAGAAAATCTGGGATTTTACATATTTATATTAGTTATATGTTGAAAGCTATTTTTCAAATTATTTAAAGGTACTACTATAAAACAACTCATTTCTGAATTATTATTTGAATTCTAAATTTGCTGAGAAATTGAGAAATATATCATAACATTTATATTGACAATTGTATTTTGACTTTTCAATCCAGATTTTCATATTTTAAATTTCATAAGTGTTTAATTACTAAGCAATCAGAAAACATTAAATTTTTGAATATAAAGTAGACTTGCAAATGGACCGGTTAGTTCTTTATACAAATTACAATATTTATTGTTTAATAAAAATACAGAATTCCCTAATTCATTAAAATCTGACGGCATTATTATAATTTTAAATACAAATAGCAAAACACGTTAAAATTAAATTATATTAGAAACTAAAAATCTTTCGTTGTTTAGTGCGGACATATTAGACATGGATGATAATATTTTTGTGATCATTCTGAATATTCTCAGATGTGATACTAAAATACAATAACATTTGTGATGTAACAGTATTAATATAAAATACGTATTTTAAAATTTTCCTTTGTATTAACCCATATTAACATAAACAACAAAATTATTTCATGCATCATGCACCTGATAGATTTTTAAAAATATTACAATAAAAATCTTTAAAATAAGCATAATTATCTATTACATTTCTATCATAGTATAGAAGAAAGATAAATGTGATGTAATTCATATTGTGATGTTTAAAATAAATAAGTTCCTTACGTTATTGTGGTGCTACTGCGAAGAATAAAATGTCTTAATTCAATACACAATTAGTCTGTGAAAACAGCTTCTAGAAGCTTCTTCGGTGGGATTACTTGCTTCTGGTGAACTTCTTACTACGTATGATAAAATGCATTCACAGAAAAGAATCTCGAAAATCTCTTAGTTTAGTATACGTTGATTCAAACTTTATTGTTGCTTGGAATTTCACACAAACGTAAAATACTACTTTAGATAAGTTTTTTGCACTAATTTATGTATCTAATTGACTTAATTCGCAATGAGCCCACTTCAAAACATTTATGTTCGCAGATAATTACGAGCAACTATAAAGTTTGAATCGTATAATAGTCACAAAGCGATGTAACTATGTTCTAATAGTATGAAGTTAGGGTATGTTTGCGTGAAACTACCGGAATATAGATATTAAGTTTTTAACCGTAAGGACTATACACTATTTGTAATTGCAGTTTTTCTCTTTTTACAGAAAACATTATTTCTATTGGATTTCAGTTAAAAACCAAAACTATCGATTACACACCGTGTGACGTCATCACTTTCTTAGTCAAAGTAAAGATGTAAAGAATGTTCTAGACTGAATTTGTTTGTGATCGAGAGTTATCATGTTTATAAAGGTCACATTTTATTTCTTTAATGAAAGAGTTATTCCATCAAAAATATTAAGTTCTTTATCCTGTACTTCAATAAAATAATTAAAAGGAGTATCAATGAATCGTTTAAATTTCATTCTTTAGTATAACAAAATATTTATTTAATTTGAGATACTGAACAGTCTTAATTGAAAGATAGTAATTACAAGAAATATCTGTCCAAAATTTAGCATTTAATGATAGCCGACATGTTTGTTTCTTGTTCAAATATAATATTTTAGTTTTCCTTTATTGTCAAAAATTTAAAATTTTAAATACATTTCCGTTTCCGTATATTTATACAAGATAACAAAAATTTAGGAAGTAAAGATCTACGGAAATCAACCGCAATGTGTAATAAACCTTAATTAGAAAGAGAAGCAAAGACAAAAATACAAAAGTATGAGTGAGACTACTTGATTGAACATGAATAAGTTTTACCAAAATATTGACCGCTTAATAATCACTTACAAATTTTAACGAAAATTTTCGTGAACGACTGTACTTATACGATCATTTTTTTAAATATTTCCTCGTGTACATTTGAAAAACTCTTTAAAGACATCGATTACGGAAAATCAATCCTTTTATCATTCCAAAAGGGGAACTAAATGACACAAAGTTGTTTCAAAGCAGATGGCATGTTTCTGGAACATTCCATAGCTCTAACGCACTGAAATATTGACGAAGTAAAGTGCATTATCTGTGCGTTGTGATAGCGGTGAATTGTTGAACACAACGGCACAGCATGAAATGCTGTGGAACATTCTAGATCTTTTAGTATCACTGTGGGTCAGTGGGGAACATCACTATAGAACACTATGTATTAATGTGGAACACTGTGTATCAATATGGAGCACTGTGTATCAATAAGGAACACTGTAGACTAGTGTGAAACACTTTGTATCAATGTGGTACACTGTAGATTAGTGTGGAACACTGTGTATCAATGTAGAACACTATTGATTAGTGTGGAACACTGTGTATCAATATAGAACACTGTAGATTAGTGTGGAACACTGTGTATTAATGTGGAACACTGTGTATTCATGTGGAACACTGTGTATTAATGTGGAACACTGTAGATTAGTGTGGAACACTTTAGATGATTGCGGAACACATTCGGGAGAGTTCAGAGTTCACGTGAGGCGGCAAGAGGGCAGTCTGCCGCAAGAGGAGTGCCACCGCCTCTTGCATTGAGTGGATTCGCCGTCAGATAACTCCGCTGTCGACATCGTTCTTGACCCGTTGTCGCCAAGCTCTGAAATTGATACAAAAATAATGTAAAAAGTTGTATTTTAAACTTTCCTTATACAAAGATATCTTTTGCCTGTGACTTCGTCCACGCATAAATTAATAAAACCTTTGAGTAGCCTATGTGTTTTAGATTATGTTTTACATTAGTGGAAAACTTCATCGAGACAGTTTGAACTGATTAGGAGAACCTCAGTAACAAACATTCATCCCAATTTTCACATTTATCATATTCGTATTAGTAAGATTAAGTAAAAACATTTTATTTTATCATTAGACTATAAATCAACGAAACACTGGATATTTTCAGTTGGTTATGTGCTATGATATTGGTTCAGCTGTTTTATACAGAAAATAGACGAAGAACAATCTTTTTAAATGCGAGTTTCTTTATTTACTAACAAAAAATGAATATGTCTCCCAATAAAATAAGGTAATTTATCTGTATAATAGGCTACATTTTTTTATTATTTTTTTAATTCCACGTATACGAAGTCGCGAGCAAGAACTAGTAATATATAAAGATACATTGCAGACGTATGTTTGTACAATAATGCAGATATTTACATTTACCTCAATATCAAATGTCAACAGACAGATTAAAACTGTGTTTACTTGTACTCGTCACCGCTTCAAGTAGTTATGTCTATAGATTGTGTAGTGAGGAAAATATGAGCTATAATTAACATAGTACTGAGATACGATTAGCGAGTAATGCAATATAAATAATAAATGCATAGGCAAAATAAATAATAATTTAATGATAAATATTGTTAATTGAATGTGGATGGCTACAAAAGCAGGGGAAGACTGAAGAAAGTGTGGATGGATTGTGTAAAAGAGAAGCTTAAGAAGTCAGTGGATTCAGATATGGCTGATAGAGATGTATGAAGGAGCAGTACATACTGTGCCGACTATATGCCGTTTACAGATAAGGGCAAGTTGATGATGATTGTAAAGTGATCAAATGAACCTTCCGTATGTTTGTAATTTAGTTAGAAAAATTGTTAGTAAATAACATTTTATATTAATCTGCATTACCTAAAAAGAAATAACTTTTTTTAGGATCTCAATCTATACTAATATAATAAAGCGTAAACACACACTTCTTTGTTGCCTAAGATGTCAGCAATCACAGCATATTTTCGAATAACTCTTTTTTAAATAAAAGGCTCTACACTTACGTCACGCTTTAGGCTATATATATTTTAACGCCGGTAAACCTCGGGATTAATATTTTGGATAAAAACCCCTATGCGGGAAAGAGACCATAGGTTGTTGCCAACATCAAGGAAGCAAGTTTGCCATGGTTTAACATCATGTCATGTCATTTTGACATTTGCAATTGATAATTTGGCAAATGTAAACAATGAAAAGAATTTTTTATAATTTTATGCGGATGAAGTCACACGGCAACAGCTAGTCTTAATAGAAGTGTTAAGATTGTATTTTTTATAACCGCTATTAGTTAATATACGTCGTTTACTTAACTTATTTAATAAATATATTCAAATTAGCAAACACTTTAGCAAAATTGTATATTCATAAAATAAATTTAAATCATATAAAATTAATTCAATCACAACCTTTTTTAGCTTTAACTACGTCGCATTCGTATAGCGATTTTATAGCATTTAGTAAAGGAGTGTAATAATTCCGCTTTATTAGTTTGGTAGCATAATTAGTAAATAATTTATTTGTATTACATATTAAATTTAACGCTACCTAAACATAACCACTCCATGCAACAAACCTAACTGAGCGAGCAAACCCGGGCTCGCACTTGTCCCATAACTAGTATTTGCTCAGGCTCTGTAAATAAAATACATGTGTAGTTCTTTTAAAGATAAACTTTTAAATCATAACTTTTTAGTTACATTTTCATAGCTGTAAATATAGTTTGCATAGTAATAATTTGATCATCGACTACCATTGAATAAAACGCGAAAATATCCTTTCAGGTTTAAATAATTGTAAAACTCCCTAAATTTATGTAAATTAAGTATAAGCAAATATTAGTACAATTTTTTACTAACATTTGTGCTTATATTTCTAAGTTTAACTTTATACCGCGTTTATTTGTAAGGCTGATACAAGTTACGTATATATGAACACATGATATAAGTATGTATGCGTAAATTAGCGGCTGTTTATTATGAAACATAGTATCGTATTAATTACATGAACATGCAAATGAACCTGTTCTTGTCCCGCAATAGTCAATGATTTTGTTTGTAAACAATTACAAAAACATTACGTCGTAAAATAATCATATATAAGAGAGGTTTCTAATGAGTAAAAACTCATATAGTATTGTATTCCTTCTGGAATAAAAGGATATCTATACAAAAATCCCTCGTCCCACTCCTTGCTATACTAAAGCAATATAAATCAGGTTTTTCTCGATCGTTCAATTCAATAAATTTTTCTCTTTGGTCGCTTGAGTTTTTTGAATCTAGAAGGATTGTTGCAACTAGAAACACTCCAGAAAACAACAAGTGTATGCTTTCGGCTGCGACTTGGTCCGCGTGGAATTACAAAAAAAAAGTAGCTTATGTGTTCTAGACTATCCTCCACATGAATGCCAAATTATATCAAGGTCCGTTCAGCCGTTAAGGCTACAAGCATCCGTCCATCTGAACTTTCACATCTTACTAAAATTATAAATGCGAAAGTTTAGATGGATGGATGGATGGATGGATGGATGGATGGATGGATGGATGGATGGATGGATGGATGGATGGATGGATGTTTGTTAGCGTTTGTAGCCTAAACGGCTGAACCGATCTCTATGAAATTTGGCACAGGTTTAGGGCATAGTCTGGAAGAACACATAGGCTACTTTTTATCCCGGGAATAGTTACGGTTCCCGTGGGATTCATTAATTTAGTTTTTTAATGTTTACTCGAGCATTCTGAAATTTGGCACACATATAAAATAAAGTCTGGAGTACACATGGGATAAGCTTCATCCCCGAGAAATGTCCGGTTCCCGAGGGATACGTAACGTTTTGTAATTTATATAGTTTGTATGTTTCCTAATACTACGCGGACGAAGTCGCGGGCAACAGCTCGTTTATAATAGTGAGATGACTTACCATGCCTGAGGTCCCTCTCGGTGAAGAACTCCTGTGCGGAGGCGTAGTGCCTCTCCACCAGGTAAGGTATGACTGTAGAGTTGTGATGCTCGTCGGAGCGCCGCGAGCGCGGACTGACCAGCCGCTCGCCCGCCTCTAGAGCAGGCGTCGCTTGGATCCAACTGAAAGAAAATGAAAGAAAACTATTGGAATCGTATTCAATTTCACTAAAAAGAATCTAATAATTTCCTAAGAGTAAAAAAAAGCTTGTATAGTCTTTTGTTCGAAGTCCTACGAAGTGAGTTTTGCCACCTCTTTGTTATAAAAGCAAGGGTGACCAGCGTGGCCTTGTCACCTTAGGGTTGGCTCCGAGCCCCTCATTAGGGACTTATAGAACTGGTGATGAATTTTCATATTTAGGGGCTTTCAGGGTTAAATATGTACAAATCGTGACATCTAAATTTAAAATGTCAACAGTCTAAATGGCCTACAAAGGTCCGATTGATTCTTTGAATTTCAATGTTTACCCGTTACACACTCAAAATTCAACTGGCAAGTTGCGATTTACGCAATTCTTCAAAAGCTACGATTGACGCTCAAGGTAAATTGTCACAGTAAAAAATTGAACTGTACAACAACAATCAATTATCACGTTTTCTAATTCAAACAGTATTTTTCTTTAGTTTACAGAATCAGAGAATATTGCTTACGTCATAGAAATATTTTTTCAAAGGTATAAAAAATAATAATCGTAGCAAAAAATAGAGATTCTTTTTCACAGTGTTATGTGTGTTATGTGTTTGGGGAAATAGAAAAAATATCTGAATATTTTTTAATTTTGTAAAATATGACCTATTTCTAACGGTTCAAAGCAGGATTTAAGCTGTTCTAGTGACCAAACCTCAAATATATCTTAGAGAAAACAATTTAAACTTTGTAGATTATTGTAAACATGATTTATAATCACACAATGTCGAAGTTGAAACAATACACAAAAGATAAGACGTACGCGAGACCTTCGCCATTTTATTCCTACTCAAGTAGCTGTTACACACAAGAGCTATTTAAAATTGAAGCAATGATAACATTAAAATAAAATAGGTTAAGGTAAAACACATTCTATTATAATAACACTAACTTTTGCGTGCAATTCCGTCCGTAATTTAAAAAAAAAAACGATTCTTCTCTACATCTATGCCAAATTTCATCAAGATACGTTCAGCTGTTTAGGCTACAAACTCTAACAAACATTCATCCATCCAAACTTTCGCATTTACAATATTAGTAAAGTAATAGTAACAAGATAACATTGTTCCGTAACAATCAATTGCAATAAATTAAGAAAACATCCAGTTAGATTGTCATAAACATGAATTTAAAAAGCACAGGCAAGAGGTTTATAAGCCAAAATGCTTATAAAATTAGCCTGCAGAAGTAGCTATAGCTACCGGTAGTATCAAAACTGGCACCTGGCTGACTTTTACCTAGTTTCCTTATTGGCACGCCCTTGATATTGGTAAAGATTTTGGCTAAGTTTCAGATAAATGAATCACAATATTTGCTTTCGATAAATACGTTTTGTATGATTCTGAACGAGTTCTTTTATCGATAAAAAATCGTTTAAAACTAAATAGAAGACAAAAAAGTAACAATACGAATTTACTTGAATTAATTTCTCAGAATTTATTCGGAATGGTAGTTCAATCTACAAACGGAAGGTGTATTTGTGGTAGTTTTACTTTTTATCCAACGTTCCTACTAAAATTACAAATTATCTAGTAACTGGCTGCTAACTGATGTTAAAATATCACAATCAATTTAATCCGTTAATGCTAATATGAAATAAAAACACAAAAGTAAATAGACCATGTGTTCATCCAGACTGTTATACATCTACTAGCTGTTGCTCGCGACTTCACACCCATGAAATTAACATGTATTTAAAAACGTAGCCTATTTTACACAGATATAATTATTTCAATACATACAAAAATACAAATCTTTCTTCTTTATAATATTAGTATAGACTAAGATGGTTCCTTGTTTTAGGTTATTTTTATTGACTTACGCGTGTCGTCGTATCTGATGCACGTCGGGGCGCAGCTTGGGGTCGCGGCTGAGCATGTGTGTGAGCAGCGCGTGCAGCGCCGGCCCGAGGCAGCGCGGCGGCGGCGCGGGCTCCGCGCGCCCGATCGCCTCCAGTAAACGGAACACGTTGTCGCCCTCGAAAGGGTACCGACCAGTCGTCATGTTGTATCTACGCGATCATAAAAATGTCTTCTATTTTTGATTATTTTGTCTATGGTTTTCATTTTTTTTTGAATTACTGGAAAATTGATGCTTGACAGTATGTTATATGTTTTACTAGCTGTTGCCCGCGACTTATAGCCCACATATTATACAATACAATATTTTGGAGATACTTAGTAACCACCTATCCATCCAATATTTTGCATCCTTAATAAGTATGAAGAATAATTAAAATTTCAGGCTAGTGATGAACATTAAGGGAAATATAGACAATCATGACTTTTGGTATCAAACACCATTATTTTAAAACTAGTCCAATCTTTATGTATAACTTAAATACCTTGACCTATAAGTAATAAAATTATAACACATAAAATACTAGCAAAAACATTAAAATCAATGTTGTATTTAGGGCAACAGCCGCTATAAAATCTGTCCTTCAAGATATGACTCAGAAAATTACATATACAGTTTTAAATGCAAAACACCTTTTGTGTATTTCCACACAAAGCAAACAAATCAATAGGGGACATTGTAACAAATAAATGTGAATAAATTACATACAAAAACTAAATTTTCCATTATACTCATACTAACAATGTAACCCCGCTGCTCCAAATGTCTACTTTTGTTCCAGAAAATGTCTCAGCACCATTTGCAATCTCCGGAGGTTGAAATGCAGGGGATCCTTGGCCAGTGTAACATGTATCTTCGGGTGAAAACATGTCCAATGCCTGGAACAGAATTAAATATTGTACAATCAACATATGCAACAACAGCTTAGTTTATCTTAGTATCTTAGGTGCAGGACTGTACAGTCACATGCATAAAAATTAATATCTTTTCATTATAGATAAACAAGGTGAATAGACTTTTGGTTTTAAAAATATGCACACACTTAACCACTAATAACTTATATACAAGGTTGGTAGCACATAGACAGACATTCTAGATTCTGTAGCTTGATAAATATAAAAATATTTATGCAGCTGACTGTACTCCGACATATGGCTTTTTGATACACAAATAACCTTAGGTAAAACTTAATAGTAATATCAATAATCTATTAGCACCATTAAGCTATTGAAAACTTAGTGGTGCTGAATTATTGCAATTTTTGTAAAAACATTGTACATTCACATTACATTATAAGGGGAGGTAGCACATATTTTTTTACAATTACTTGACTACTAACAGTGTTAGAGGAAGAACAAATCAGTTCAATATCCCCTATGTCAAATAAAAACACATACATCCTACATCTTTGTCATCTACAATAATAAATTGACGACCGGCAGTATATATAATATGCATAATTTTTCTAGGCCATTTAGCTTTTTATCTTTACTTAGGTATTATTACTGTTGATTGTGAATAATAATTATGAGTCATACTCTATCAAGTAAAGCCAGTATGTAAACACTCTTCTGTGGAAATTATGTAGCTTAAGTAGATATAAACGGACTTTGACTTTATTTCTCTATATTTAAATAATCTACTATTCCTGCAGTAAAATTTTAAGTGTTTACTGCCTTATAAAAATACAGTACATCTATACCAATATGAAGAGGAAAAAATTGTATTTTTGTATATATTGAAATAACTTGAAACAACTGGGCCAATTTTAGAAATTCTTTCACCGTTAGAAAGGTAATTTATCTGTGTTTAACATAGGCTTCATTTTTTAATTTTATGAGGACAAAGTCGCAAGCAACAGCTAGTAATTTATAATTGAACAATGATGAGTCATACAAATAATTATAATGAAATAGTAACATACCTCTGCAACACCAAAATCTGTGATTTTAAGTATTTGATTGAGAGTTAACAACAAATTGCCTGGCTTAATGTCCTTGTGGACTACTCCTTGTCCATGGAGATATTCTAAACCATCAAGCAACTGTGTGAAATAGTCATGAGCCTGCCGCTGTGGAAACTTTTTGCCGGGACTTGATTCCAACATGTCCTACAAAATTAATGGTTATTTAAACATAGCTGTAAAATTTAATTTACATTTATTATACAATTTTTATTTCTTACCTGAAGCACTCCAACGCAGAATTCCATTACAAGATACATCTTTTGCTTTTCATCATTATACATTACATCAACTAGTTCTATCACATTTTTATGTCTAAGTATTCGCAGTAGCTGAATTTCTTTCTGCACATTCTGTTCACCATTTGGTATCCGTCGTAATTTCCTCTTTTTCAATATTTTAACTGCTCGTCTACATAAAGACTCTGAATCCAGCATTTCCTTTACTTTTCCATAAGAACCTTCGCCCAACACGTCACCCATTACATATTTTCCTACCATTTTACATTTTTTCTTTTTATTTCTGTATATTATATCTGCACTATCGACTCTATGGAAAAATAGGTTATTTTGGTCTAAATTAATATCTAAGTCATCGATCTGATCGTCGTCGAGCCATGTCACCGAGTGAGGTTCTGGGCTACCGTCTAGAAGAAAATTATCATCACTTTCCTGTGGCATGATAATATTTGACTCTTCCACTTCCACGTTCTCTGCATCTGGAAGACTTTCACTACTACTGATTTGTCTGCACATTCTTGGATCCATTATCTATCAAAACAATACATTTGGAAAACTCTCCAATAAGTCTATATTCGCTACAAGGCCCACCGCTGTGATAAACTAGGACAAGTATAAAGTTAATTTACACATTTCTCAAAATATATTTTTTCCATTCATGATGGAATAAAGATTTTTATAAAAATTATGCTTTTATTTGAAAAGACTGAAGGTAAATAAATTTATGAATCCATATGAGATGAAACATCGTAACGAGAGCACAGATATAACAAAGAACAAAGCACATAAGCAAAAATAAAAACACTTAAAACGTTTTTTCTTTGAAAACCAACGAATAGGATTGTTTTAATTGACTTTTATTTTATAGTAAAAGTGATTAACAAACGAGTTAATTAACATTTAGGTATTTATTGTAAAACAAAAGAATTTAATACTGTTGGACAATTAGAAATTATGGCAATATGTTTAATTAGTATTGGCAACTTTTGCTGTCAGAAGCTCAAATGTTCCCGCGTTATGACACCACAAGTCAGTGAATTTAAAATTATGGGAGGCAATAATGTACAGCCACGATAATGCACGACCCAATAATGCACGGCCCAATAATCCGTGTACAAACAAAGGATTTTAGTACATGAATTATCGGGCCGTGCATTATTGGGCTGTACATTATCGGGCCGTACATTATCGGTACAGGCCAATAATCCGTGTCCCATAAAAAGCATGTACACGAATTATTGGGTCGTGCATTATTGGGCCGTACATTATCGGGCCGTACAAATAATGTACGGCCCGATAATGCACGACCCAATAATTGGAAGCCAATATGGCGGCATGAGACCTGTCAGAATCCCAGTAGCCAATCACAACCGTGTAATTCTCTATGATTGTGCTTCGCTTACATCACTTGCCAATGGCTTTATTGGTCGAGTTCGGATTACGACATTGCGCAAATTTTGAATTTCGAAATGTATCAGGGTTCAAACGT